ATAAGCGTGACATTTACAAGATATCGTTTTCATTTAGCATTCGCAAAGCCTAAATTGACGGGTGGATAGATAATCTTGCTACTTCTCATGCCTTGTTATACTTTTGATGCATTTAATAATTTGTTAAGTTGATTGCTTATGCTTAACGTTAATCTCATCACTCATGTCGTACCTATGTTAATGTCTTTAATAGGGATGATGACTATTTTTTTTTCTTCGTTTATCAGGTAGATTATCAAAAAATATTGGACACGTATTTTTTCGCATAATATTAAGATTGCAGAGATATATTGATTTGAAAAGTCGCATGACGTCACGTTTTTGTACAATTTTCACTTAAAAGTGACGTCACGATACCCTACTCCCAAACTTTGACGCGCTATATCTTTGTCATTTTTTGGTTGATTGCCCAAAGAAAAATTACGTGTCCCTTATTTTTTGATCATCTAACTGACGGACTAAATACAATTTCGTTTTCCCCGTCATCACGCCTATTGAAATCGACACAATTGCAACTTGATTCGTGAGTTTCGTGAGTTATTGTACCGACTTTTTATAAGAACGTTTATACTTTTTCTATATCAGGTTGCGTTTTCAAAACATCAAAACCACCAATTCTTCTTCTCACACGATTTCTGAGCTCATCATTTAGTCAAATGTTGTCAAAGTTAGTAATTAGTTACAACAACTTATATTTTGTTAATAATTATTCGCCGTTGTAATAATTTAGCTTATGTGTTCACACAAGCTAGTATTTTGCGTGACACTTCGCATTATCTGTCCCGGGAGATCTGACCCTGACGCACTAATTTTAGTTTAAAGTAAAGTAAGACAATTTATGAAAGTAGTTCATTTACTAATTATAGCTTAGTAAATCTAAAATTATTGGGATAGCGATAGAATGTCTTTCATTTTTCTTTACAAAGTACAACAAAATGTTACCAGATGTTATAAGTAAACCTCTTTCTGTGTTCTGTGGTAAGGCGCTTCATAATGAGATGATTGCTATCCGGGTCGAAGCACGGTTTGAAACTCGGTCGTCTGTTAAGAATAGGATATTTATAAGGTTTGTCAACGACACCAGCGCTAGAAACGGTTTGAGGTCGGCTCAAACTGGCAGAAACCGTACCTAGACCCGGCGGAAAACCGGTTGTTAACAAGCAATTGCGTAGAAGCCTGATGCTAAAGACAAATATGCCTCTCTTGCCATAAATCTATCTTTCCAGTCTTAGCTCAATCACCTATACATCATTAAATAACATCACCGAAAGATAAATGTTATTTAATTGTGATCTTGGTGAAGTGGTGGCTACCTCCCTGGCGGGCGTTTAAATTTGAGCGAAAAATCCTATGTAATTAGAAAAGTACGTTTCATAGCTTCGTTTTTAATGAGATGGATACATTAATTTGAAAATAAATCTAAGGATAACATTGGCTACCTGGTAGTGTTCCAATCTGGACTATACACACACAGTCTATCACAGACTTATAATTCAACCAGGGGAGTTTGCACGTGTCACCAAAATCCAAATACAAATAAATCCTAAATCATAGCTTAAAGTGGACAATAGAGTGCAAAAAGATCCATCAATGGATTTAAGTCGATCGAGGGAGAATGTCAATATAATAGTCGCCGTCAATCAACTTAACAAAGGCATTAAATCATTGCTTCAAAGTAATAAAATCCAAGTTCTACATTTCAAAGACTCGAAAGAGCCTTGGGAAGTTTTAGTTAAAATCCAATGATACCTATGCCTTCACGCTTATAACCCGTTCAAAAGCATTCAATTAAATATTTCAATATAGGAAGTGTTCTGTCTTTTTTTCATATTGCAATAGCCAGTTTAATAAATGCCAAAGTGATACATGATAGCAAAATACAATCCTAAATAGTCGGTTCACTATATTAAAACGTTACAAATGGCACGAAATGTAATAAGCAGCAAAGATAATTTATTGAACTTCCTACTAAAGTGGCATCGCCCGTAACACTTAGAACAGATACGGACGAAGGGAAAATTATTGTACAAGATAATTAAATCATAAATACCTATTAAGGATTAGAAGAATTTCAAAAGTTATTATATCAATTTGGCTCAAAATTTAAGATGAAGTCCATTTTAAATTAAACATACTGATTGATATAAATTTAAGAAGAATTTCTGTCTTTCTTTCTTAAAGCTTTTGTGCTTGCTCCTGTGGAACGTGTATATTTTAACGAACTTTCATCTTTCGTCGACTTTTATGTCACACCTAAAGGTTTCAAATTCTTTCCCGTAGATTCACATTGAAGTCTGTCATACTCTTCAGCTCCTTAATAATTTGTATTTCTTCCTCATTCAGCTTCATTCAAGATCAACAGGTTTTTTTAGTGTTTCCGAAGTACTTATGAGGCTTCTCTTGTACGGCATAGGGCTCTATAATTTGGGCTGTTTCTAATCCCACCCTTTAATACGTTCACAATCCAAACTGATCGCTCTCAAACTCAATTCAGACAATGGTGAATAGCTTTTCCGAGCGATTTGCTCCAAAATGTTAGTCACGTAATACGAGCTCCTTTGAAGGTCGGCTTGCAATTCGGTAGATAATTTAAATAAGGAACCTACACTCTGGAACGCCTTAGACAGAATAAATTGTTTGCTGGTAACGATGTTTCTTTTCGTTTACGATGAAATGATTTGACGGCGTTTGATGTTATATATTTTTGGGTGACACCGGAGACAGAGTTGTTTTAATATTCATGGGCGATTCGAACTTTCTGTATCTTTCCAATTTAAGTTGTTCCCAAGAGATTAGTAAGTGACCGGGATTATGTTGTTTTGATGAATCGCAATAAATCAATTTTACAGACACGCCATTACGGTTCCCAAGATGTTTTTGTTCTGTTTGGTATTACATATAATCCTTTTTTTATGTATTTTGCTATATTTGTCTAGGTTCTATCCTATGAATATTATAAATGAGAAAATCTGTAAAGTTGGTATGTTTGTAAATCAATCACCCAAAAACTACAGCATAGGTATTCTGTAAGATGCAATCTCACTTACGATCTCATTTCGGATTTCTGACAAATGTGGATTATCTAATACTGGCTGCTTCTACAGACATAGCGATATTTTGGACAGAACAGGAGCGCCCATTTCAATGGGCGTGCCCCAGGGTTCAATATTGGGCCCATTGCTTTTCCTTATTTATATCAATGACCTTCCTCACTTTGCAAGAGATTTGTGTGAGACAGTACTATTTGCTGATGACACCTCTTTATTGTTTAAAGTTAGAAGAGGAAATGATTGTTATGACGAAGTAAAATGTGCTCTCTCTGATATCCTTCACTGGTTTACGGTAAATAATTTAAAACTTAACTCCAGTAAAACAAAATGCGTTAAGTTTACTCTACCTAATGTGAGGCAGGTTAATATTAGTATAAAAATAAATGACCAGCCTGTAGAGTTATTGGATCATACAAAGTTTCTGGGTATTACTGTAGACTCTCGTCTGCAATGGGATCCTCATATTGATGCCTTGTCAAGTAGGTTGAGCTCTGCAGCTTTCGCTGTTAAAAAAATAAGACTCTTAACTGATGTGGAAACGGCAAGATTAGTTTACTTTGGTTACTTTCAGAGTGTTATGTCATATGGCCTTTTCAGCCGCTAATATCGAAGGTATTTTCATACTGCAAAAGAGAGCTGTTCGCGCCATATACAATTTAAAGGCAAAAGAATCCCTTCGAGAAAAAATTAAAGAAATTAATATTTTAACACTGGCGTCGCAATATATTTATGAAAATTTAATATATGTAAGAAAAAACTATAATGCATTTGCAAAAAAAAAGTCAAACCCATTACTTTAACACGAGATTTAAGAACAAACTTGGCGTTCCATGTTTCGGACTCCAAAAATCAAGAGGTTCATTTCTGGGTTGTAGTATTGCATTGTTTAATAAAGTTCCCCTAGATCTGATTCAGCTTTCACTGACTAAATTTAAATCTCAGATCAAAAATACTCTTATGAATAAGGGCTATTAAAATGTTGATGATTATCTGAATAACCGTAATGCATGGTCATAGTGTTTCTTATAATTTGTTATTTAATGGGTATTAGTCATTTTTCATAACAGTAATATTGTACCTATCTAACGCCGCTTCCTATATACTAAATATATTGTTAACCATAAAATTTATTGTAACTATATATTTATATTCTAAATGCTGTAATGGAAGGTGACTTCAGACGTATCTCTGAAGTCATTTTTCAACTTGACGACTCTGTATATAACAATACAGGGAGAAAAAAACAGCCCTTGCTGAGTTTCTTGCCGGTTCTTCTCAGTACAAAGTCTCCCGCCGTAGTTTTGCGAACCGATGGCGTAGCTTCTTGACCTTCACAAGTGCTTGTAACAGCCTAGACTGAATAAATGGCTTTTCATTTTCAGTTTCATTTGCCGTGTAAGCCGTAATGCATATTAAACTAATGTCTAAAATGGTAGCTACCGAAATCGGAAGTGAGATTTTATTTTACAGAATACTGAACGGATTTGGATGAAATTTGATACGCATATAGTTTATAACCTAGATTGACACATATGATACTTTTTATTTCGGAAAATGTTAGATTCCTGTTTCGTTTCACAAAAAACTAAAGTTAACGCGGACGACGTCACGGGTGGCCGCTAGTGTACCACATATTGTTCGTATATGACATATACAAATATAATAAAATTATTTTAAACTTGTAAAACATATACTATATTATTTAAGTAGAAATTAGATTGCTCTGTTCGATCATTAAAATCTCCATAAAAAATATCATTCAAGTTGAATATAGTAAGACTATATGTAAACTTGTAAAACATATACATAAACATATAGTATATGTTTTAAAAGTTGCAAATAATTCTATTCCAGGAAATAATTATGACTTTGATGTTTTATGACATCCATACGTGCTAATGGATGAATTTGCTTAAAGTAATAAAAGTAAACAGGCCAACATATACGAACCCAGCCACCACTTCTCCTCTTCTGTTGGGATACAACTCTGGATGCTGTCCGTAGCGAAGGTACACCTCGAATTGTTGTTCAGCTCTGTTACAAATCATTAAACATTATATCATTTGACAAACTAATTAGTAATAATTAAACTATTAGTAATAATTATAGAATTGGTGACCAAAAAAACAATAGCTTGAGTTCCACCTTACTTTGAAAGTCACGTAAGCCGTTGGACAAAGAAACATATGCAGTCATTAGAACTCTCAATTAAACACATTGTAATACACAAATCCAGCAGTGGGTAAATTTATAAGATGGTGCTAATGGTATTCAAAAAGGTGCATTAAAATTAAACATCCATTTTGTGTCCATTTCGTTTCAGAAATGACTATTAAGTAAATAGAATTTTAGGCGCATTACGTGTTTTTAATTCGCAGAAAAATATGGGACTCTTAGTAGTATAGCACAGGTCCTTAGATAAATGATTGATCTCCGGGAGACCAATCACTAACCTCATCAAGGTCATAAATTTAACAGATGTACAAAGTAAAAAGTAAAGAAGGACAATCGAGATGAGTGGACATATAGTAGAGCGGTCAACCTTACTGAACATAGCTTGTATGGTAGGCCCGTATTATAGAAAGATTCTCAGTGATTGATCTAGTCTTGAGCATAGTTAGAAAGGGATGTCGCTATATATAGCACATAGCGACATCCCTTTCTAACTCTACTCAAGTAAAGATCAACACTTAGTTATCATTCTGTATTACGGGCCGTAAACTAATGTATAAAGAGCGCCTCGAGCAGAGATTGGCACTTATCATTGGCTCTATTCCCATTCTTCATTAGATCACAGGCTGGGACCTACTGTTTTGTGTGACTAATTCGTTTTATTGTGTTAGATGCCAAAGCAATATTTTTTTTTTATTCTGGACAACAAACAGTCATGTACATCGATATTATTTTTCTTAACAGTTATACCTTGAGTGCCATTATTCAATTCAGAAATGTTTTAATTAAGAATATATTTAAATTTGAATTAAAATGAATTCAATTTGAGTGCGACAAGATTGCCCAGGCAAATAATTATGTCAGTCCGATAACTGACGCTTTAAATTTCCGGTGAGATAAATGTAGAAATGAGGTTGCCTTGTCCGTTATTCTGAACGGTAGTTAAAGAATCGATGTTTCCATTTCTATTTCAATTTGTGCAAGCAGATAGAAAAAGTTTTTTTTTACTGTAACATGTATTAGATTGACCAATAAACACTGAGTTTATCTTTTTGTGGCTATGTTGTTATCCTAACATAAGCTCAGCGCTGTGTTGTTCAACTTGTTTGGTCATCCACTCATAATGTGGATTATGTTTAGTTCTATTATGTGCTAATAAACATGGCTCGCATACAAGCGATGGGGGAAATAGGCGGAAATATTTATCTGTCTGACGCACATTATATGCATGTAAACGTTTCGAGATGATTTAAAGGAGTTTGATATATGACTAAACTTTTTCATAGTTTCAAATTATGTTACAAACCTCGAGTCGAAACTGAAGTAGGTCTGATCGGTAAAGTTGTCGGCGTGAAACACGATCTTCACGAAGTTGGTCTCGGAGATGAAGGTCTGAGGCTGTTCGATCTCGCCGCAGAACAAGCCAGGCTCCTTCCTATTGGAGACGTCAGTCTTGGCGTTACCGTCCACAATCTAAACAATATTTGAAATGAAATAAGTATCAACTAAGTTTTTTTTTTTATTTTTTAAGCAGGCATTTTAGTGAAGAAATCCACGCGGACCAGGCAGCATACGGGACTCGAACCCGCGGCCCTATAAACTAATTTCAAAACAAATGAGAGAGGGGAGTACAGTTAGGTAAAGAATACTGATCGGAACTTTGAAAAGATGCAGTGTATTTCAAAATGGTTCCATGACTTGCTAAATATGGAAATGTTCAGTTTTAAGTGTTATATTCCGAATAATATTGAATAATTCCATATACTAAAACCATTCTATGATCTACTATATATAGTCCATGATTCATGACTTTGTAACAATCATTTGTGATTATCTATCACACAAAAGATTAGCAAAATTTGAACCCAGGAACTTTGGAACAGGGAGCAGGCACATTGCCGCTAGCCGAACCCGCCTTAAATTTAATTAAATGAAATTTCAAATGATACTTCAAAATATATCGAACATTTTAGTTAACATTTTAATAATCTGTTTCGTAATGTAAAATGAATTTATAACAATGTCTGGAACTAAGGCTGTAATTATGAAACTATATATTAATTTGTAATTGGGCTTTGAACCTATTTCAATAAACTGACAAGGAAACACAATCAGGTCCGTCAAATTAAAACCTGGTGCCAACATCAACTTTGTTTTAATCATAAACGAATGATCCGATAATTAGTTGTCCAAATTGGCTGCCGTCGAGTTCCGAGTTCCTGTTGGAAGTTCAAAAATTAATTAGTTCAATTGCCGAAGCGAGAACGAACTCAATTAATCCTACTTTCGAGGCTCAGCTATTTTCACGGGAACTTTTTGCTGGAATCTCCCCTTAAGCTGATTATGAGGGCAAGGATTACTTTATCTTAGCTCTCAAGGAATGAACGAAACTGCAAATTTCACCTTAAGGACAGTTCTTAAGGATCATTCGAGGTTGTATTAGCATCAGCGTATTTGAATTTAGTCTGAGCAAAGAAGATCCAAGTCTTTTTCATTAGTTTGCCCTGTTTTCACTAGTTTGAATGTAATTTTATTTTGTTTAATCTTAATTGTTCCATGCACTTTGGGTTAATGTTGCTGCTGAAATCTGTGGCACATTGTTCTCTGTTTTTAAGTAATCAACAGTGTAGTGAAGTATATTTAGAATACACTACTATGAGTATCTCCAAAAAGTGTAACAATATTTTAGATTATGTTGCTAAAATTGCAAAACTAAAGACAAACTAGAAGAAAAGAACTCGAGAATATGCTGACAACTGTCTCTATATTTGTCTGTATTTTTGGCAATGTTATTAAATGAATCCAATATTTGGCATTATTATAAGGTTGCGGAGATTAATACAGGTGAATTTAAAATATTCGTAATTTAGTTATTCTTACTTGCATATATCCTTTGTGACAGGTGGTGCCATTTATAAGCGTGCCCACTTTGAATTTCTTAAATCGTATCCTCAGAATCCAATCTTTTGGCGATCCTCGAAATGCTCTAAACCTGTAAACAATTTTTGTAATAAGTGTTCCCTTCAAATGTATCGGTATCTGTTGTAAACCTCAACAATATAATCGAAAAACTAGTAAACGTTTATAAAAAAAATAAAAAGGGTGATGTACAGCAAATCCTTCAATGAATTTTGAGTTTCCTTCTGGGAAAGATATTTCCACTTCAAAAATACTGTATTCTAAATTAGTAGTATAATGTTCGTGCTTTGGCCAGAGTGTCACAGGGTTTGGGGATTGGACTTGAAAAAAAAGGAATTACTTGGAAAGAACAATTTTATAAGCAGATAGAATAAAATACTACTTATAGCAACCAAATAAGAATACTATAATTCCTTAATAGAGGGTTACTCGAAAAAAACGTACACCAGTGCTAGTGAGCTTACAGGTTGCTCCTTCTTATGCCACAGTAAAAAACTGGGTGGCTGAGTTTAAACATGTGTCCAAGATGAAGCACGCCCTGGACGTCCAAAAAGCGTCACGACTCCGGAAATGGTCGTGAAAGTACATGATATAGTTTTAGCAGATCGACGATTGAAGTTATCTGAAATAGCTAACGCTACAGGTATCTCTAAAGAATGGGTACATCATATCCTAAGTGAGGAAATTTATATGAAAAAGTAATCGGCCCGTTGGGTGCCGCGATTGCTTACCCACGATCGAAAAAGGATTCGGGTGCAAAACTCAAAAGAATGTTTGGACCGTTTTCAGGGTAATAAGGCCGATTTTTTACATCCGTTTGCAACAACATGAAACATGAGTTCATTATTACATGCCAGAATCAAAAATTCAATCAAAAGCCACTGTTTTCAGGATGGCCCGGCTCCAAAAAAAAGCCATGGCTGTAAAGTCGGCTGGAAAAGTAATGGCTTCCGTATTTTGGGCAAATAAATCATTTTATGGAAGGCATTACAGCTTTAGAACGAAGATGGAATAAGTGCGTAGAGGTTCACGGAGAATATGTCGAAAAATAAAATTAATTTTATCTCGGAAATTTAAGTGTTTTCTTATTAGGCTAGTTACTTATCATCCCGCCCTCGTATATGTAGATGTCATCTGAGACGCCGTTGATTCATAATAGAGTTCATATCTCTAATAGGAATAAATATTTTCAGTTTCTTCGAAACCAACAGGCTAAAGGTGATACTATAATTTGGTAAGGAGTGGTGTGGAATCTCGGGCGGGTGGGTGTGTCTCATGAATTGTAATAGGTAGTCAGTTGTCATTTTCACAGAAGGTAATTTACAAGCAATTCAAATAAAAGCTAAATATACAAACATAAATAAAAAATACGTGTGGCAATCGGGGACTGCCGCGGTAAAGCTATTGCATAGCATTATTTATCAACTTATAGCAATTATAATTATTTATTTTATTTATGCAGTATTTTTTTTCTTTGATATCAATTCAAGTTTTTTCTTTGATATTAATAGATGGCGAGGTAGGCCTATTATATTTTATTGGGCAAGCACAGCAAACAACAGCATTTCCCGGCGCCAAAAAACTTCCTCAATCTCCACAGTTTACCATCTTTAGTCCAAATATTTTAATTATAATTATAAAGTCTAAATAAAAGGGAAACAAATAAAAATAAGAACAGGTGCTGGAGTCTAAAAAATATATAAAAAGGGGGAAAAGTATAATAAAAAATAAAAATACGAGTGCGGGATTTGAACCGACTACCGCGGTGATGCGTCGAACGTTGCTCCCGTGGCAAAAATTTAACACACTGCACCGTTTCGATCGATACTGGAAAGGCGAAAATTGTGTTCATATGCACTGTTGTCAAGTTATTTTCGTTATGGAATTTCTTGATTCGGTCGCCGCACTCAAAGCCCGCAATAAAATCTATGCAATAGCTTAAAAACTAAATATAATATTATAAGTCAACATAAAAAACATGTTTTTCCTTTTCATTGCTCGAACTAAGGGAATATAATAATATTGTACAATGGCTACGTTTTGGGTTTGGGCGTTCCAGTCGCACTTGGGAGGTTTCTTCTATTTCTCAACGGTTGCAATGATAAGAGACAGCATCGACTCTTATTATACTCACTTAAATAAATTGATATCTGTGTGTCTGTCTACAAACCTATATGTGCAAGTGAGGGGCCTGCCGAAATTCTCAGCAGTGACTGGAGGTGACGAGACATCTTCATAGATTTCCACTGTTTTATTACAGTGGTCCCGTTTTGAGTCTGCGGACAAAGAAAATAATAATTTGTAAATAAAAATCAAAGAAGAAAGAGACCACAACACTTATCAAAATAGCATTAGCATTTTTATAAACAACGTGTTCAGAAGATGAATATTACGGTTTTTATTTTTTAAGCATGTAACTGCTAGATGAATAAAATTAACGGGCTCTATTGTTTACTTTAAAGCGAATGTATAAATTTGAATATCTAAAACTTATGATAATGCAATGAAGGTGAACAAAATAAGCAGTTTTAAACCGCTTGACCTATCAGAACTTTGATCGGAATTGCCAAGCGTATCTGTTGTAAGTTTGCTCTCGACAAAAAAATCTTTTTTTTTTTCATTATAAGTAGAGATGATAAAAAATAATTAATATCTAATTTAATTTGTTAGTAGATAGCTGTTTCCGATGTTGACTGTATCTTATGAAACAGATTCGTAATACAACTGTATCTTATGAAACAGATTCGTAATACAATGAACCGGCTACATGATAAAGCTCATTATACAAAATTGCCTGTTTCACTGTCAAGAAGATAGGATCTCTCAATTTATAATACTGTAAGTAAATTTAAAAATAACATGATAAATTCCCATTACAAAAGCGATGTCTAGTTGTGGCTAGAAAATTATTGCACGACAACCTTGACTTACGAGCTGTGGGCGCAAGAGTTATTTTAATGGAAAACTTTCCGTGTTCACCTACTGTGAAGGTGTTAATGGCGGTTGGACTTCTACGGACACAGGAAGGAAGGATTTCAACATTCCTCATGAAAAGGTCACTATTTTGGAATGATTCTTTTAGCCCAAAACTATGAAGAAAAAAAAATGTGTGCGTGTACTAGTGTACACACGTAAGAAGTGAAACTTCTTTATGGCCTTATTTTTCGAAAAATGATCTACCTGCAACTTTCCAGAAATTGGTTAAATAAAGTTAAATTAGATAAAGTTTAAACAAAAGGATTTTATTATCATAGACATGAATACAAATTACTGCCTATGAAACTGTTATGATTACACGGCTCAGTAATCTAAGGCACATGTTCCACCTCCGACGATGAACGATAAGCGAGTAGAAACTAGAAACGAATTGGCAGTCCTGAGTTAAAATGCACGCGCACGGCTTTTGACAGCCAAGCCAGCTTAACCGAGCGAGTATAGCTGAGCGAGTATCGCTGAGCGAGTATAGCTGAGCGAGTATCGCTGAGCGAGTATCGCTGAGCGAGTACCGCTGAGCGAGTATCGCTGAGCGAGTATCGCTGAACGAGTATCGCTATGCGAGTTTGGCTGAGCGAGTCTTATCTTTAATAACTATTGTCACTCAGCTACAAACGAGCAGAGAGAGTTCTCGCCGGCGACAGTGTGATCATTCAGCTATCAACTATTAATATAAAAAAAGATGGCGCGTAACGGAAAAATGTGACGCGTAACCGAAAAATGTGACGGTAAATTTTTTTCCAACGCCGATAAAGAAGTTTCACTTCAATATGAAAATGTGTTAAAATTTCGTTCAAGTAGTATTTGGTAAGAAATCCCATTTGTATATTTCTGTCATTATATTGTTTTTAACTTTCATAGTCACTAACATTATAGTAATATAGATGATAAATTTAATGCAAAAGTTTTTTTTTATTTTCTGGGTAAGCAATCCAAAAGAGTCAATCCTGAACAGTTCAAAAAAAGTTCAAAAGTTTTTATAAAAGTTTAATGTTTAATAGGTAAGTATTTAAGTAGATACAGGTATTTATTAAAATCTATAATGAGATTGTTTTTATTTTATAAATATTTAAATACTGCAAAATTATATCGTTTTGCAAAAATCTTTAACCTCATATAAGACATTATTGTAATAATTAACTATATTACGTCAATCTCTCTTTTTGCAAATACGTGTCAAGCTTTATAATTCGTTAACAAGAGCTTAGCTTATTTGAAAATTTTATTTGACAATAACAAATCAACTTATTCGTTTAATATTTGCCTTAATTTAATGTTTAAAAATAATTGATAATGTGTTAAAAACAATGTAATTTATATAATTTTATTGAATTACACTACATTTAATGTTATAATTAAGATTTAATACATTATTTTTTAAGTAAATAAGCTGCTAACATAAGTACCCTTTTACATGACATAAAATTCATAATATCATAATATTTTATCGTTTTCTTTCTTCTATTGACATGTTTTACTATCAAATTTATGAAAATAAGTTAATTAAATATATTTGTTACTTAGGTTTTCACGCACATCACTCATTAAATAAAACTAGTTTTAAAGGGTTATTGCACGAAACTTTATTTATTTATTGACGTTTCGCAGCCTTTTCAGGTCTGCTTCGTCAGAAAGTTCATTCTGTTCTGACGAAGCAGACCTGAAAAGGCTGCGAACCGTCAATAAATAAATAAAGTTTCGTGCAATAACCCGCTAAATCTAGTTTTCTTTTATTAAATATTTTAATCTCCACAACATGCCGGAACTCATTTAGGTTAACGTCCAACAAAAAACACTACAATTTGCAAAAATCGATCAACCGCTAACAACTTCTTATTGCGTTTCATAGATGGAGCTAACAGGTGTGAAATTGTGTTTCAAGTGACAAAACATGTTATGTAAAAAGATCTACCGCACGTTCTGGTTTCGTGTTAATATTTTTTGGTGTTTTTTTTTTAATTTAAAACAAATCAACCACGTACCTTAATGGAAAATGTTCTTTACTTGCTTTTGAAGCATCCTGCATTATTAAATTTTATGCCATCTTGAGGCTCAGATTTTACTTACCTGTTAGTCAATAATACTTTCAAAAAATATCGGAAGAGTTTATGAACGACCTCCGTGACTCGAGTGGTATGTGCGCCGGTTTTCCAGGTCTCCTACCCCCCTTGGCCCTAAGAAAGGCCTTTTGAGCACCTACCTCCAGTGACCTACCTCCTATCAATCACTGTCACTGGAGGTAGGTGCTCAAAAGGCCCTTCTTAGGGCCAAGGGGGGTAGGAGAGGGACGGAGAGAACTACGCTCTGCCTCTCACTCCTGCGAGAGCCGCGAGCCTGTCCTGGGGGGGACGGGTTCGCAATGCACAAGCTCTCAGGATGTCGATACCCCTGATGCTCCGGGGCATCTTCATCGGGGTGGGTCCGTTCGCGGACAAACACCTGGCGGGTGCGCGGCCATTCGGAAACGGGAGCCGCGACCACACCCGCCCTCTCGGCATGCACTAGGGGGACCGCGGTCCTCATAGTGCGTGTCGGGTGACAGTGCAGAATGGAGGAACAGGGCCACTAAAAACCAGACAATACTCCTGTATTGTCTGGTTTTTAGTGGCCCTGTTCAGGGCATTAGGTAGGGCCCTGTTTATTTCACCCGACCACAGAGCTGGCTGAAATGAACAGGGAGGAGTCCCACATACCTTCTTCTCGCTCCTCCAGTGGTTGAAGGATGCGTAAAGCATTTCGCAGACACAAAAAAAAGAAAAGGTGTCGCTTACTCAGAGGTCTTTGGTTCGAATCGATTTGGAGCAAATCATCATTATCAGCTTATAATTGTCGCCACTGCTGGGGCACAGGCCATCACTATGGATGGAATAGGGAGATTGGGCCATGACCCACCGCGCGGGCCCAGGGCCGATTGGCGGGTGCTAACGACTGCAGATACAGCTGGGTTTATATATTCTATCCGTTACCCTAGTATCCCATAACACAAGCCTTACAGTGGTTACTTTGGGGCTAGGCTTGTCAGCTGACTCCATACCAAATTCTATTAAAATCGCTCCAGTCACTTAGACGTGAAGAAGTAACAAACACACACACTCACAAACTTTCGCCTTTATAATATAGCATGATTCCTTTTACGAATGGTGAGAACCGTTAATGGAGGATCTTACAACATTTGCAATAACACTACTGCAAATGGAGTGATTACATGCTCAGTGACTACTGCCACACTAAATTGTGTACGTTAACGTCTTATTGTAACTGAGGGCGAGTAAGTGACCTGAAAATTTTCCAAAGCATTAACTTAATACACCCATGCTCCGCTTAAAATGTAGTACAACATCACCGAGGTCAGTGAAACAGTGCGCGTAGCAAATGATCGTCGTCCATATCGGGAATTGCCTGAGATCGGACCCCTTGTTTGGAACTCCATAAAAAGTCCATTCTGAGGAGGCAAAAACTTCAATATACTGTACGCAAGAACTTCCTCTGGGGATACGAAAAGTATTGTCTGTTGTTTCTTCAGCTAAGCCGCGCTGGCATCGCTGGGTATTTCGATGTACAAACTTTTGTTATGATCCATTGCGAAGTATTTTTTGTATTATTCTGTTTTATTTAAAAGCTTTGTTGATAGGTGCGTTAGGAATGTTAATGTTTTCCCTTTCAGCCCGCGTCCACCCAATAGGGATGATGACTATATTTTTTTCTTCGTATATCAGGTAGATTATCATAAAGTATTGGACACGTATTTTTTCTTTTTTCACATAATATAAACATTGCAGAGATACATTGATTTGAAAAGTCGCATGACGTTACGTTTGAGCACACTTCTAAGTGAAAATTCACTCAAAAGTGACGTCACGAGCCCCTACTCCCAAACTTTGACGCGCTATAACTTTGTCATGATTTGGTTGATTGCCCAAAGAAAAAATATGTGTAATAGAATTTCGTTTACTGTACTCCGTCATTACCCCTATTGTGGTGTTTTTTTAAAGGTATTTTCAAAACGGATACTTTTGCCGAATACATTGATTCCATGAAACAAGCGGCGAGCAGCACAGTTTTTAAACTGTATTGCTAAACATAAATGTTTCTTATATGTATTGTTATTATAATATATATAATAATAATAAATTTATTTATTTGCCCCAACATTTTCACATAGTTAAAACATAACAATTGTTTTCTTAATACTTAATAGAAGCGACAATACTACTTAGAACGAAAAATACAATAAAATAGCACTTACAATACACTAGTACCTAAACTAGGCCGAGCCTGTATA